ACAATATTGTCTAAACATTAAATTACAAAAAAGTAGAGATCTCTGGAGTCTTTATAGTAAGAGTTTAAACACTATCAACAAGTGGGGTTTTCATTCAAGTGTCAAAGGTAACATTGTCTTACTTTTCATCAGTGGAAAAATTTAACTTATTTAACTTATTTAACGAGTAACCAAGGGTCTGAGCACTAGGTCTGTCATCTTCTATAGAAGATAAGCTATGTAAAGTACTTGATAAATTTCTCTTATCTAATGTCAGGTCTTCCACAAGTTCTTGGATTCGATCTCCTTTATTTTCACCAATTATAACTCTAGACACACATCCACAGGGGCACACTGGAATATATTTTGATTGTTTTGGAGGATATAAGGTGGGAAATTCTGATGTGTGCACAGTTTGAAGAGATTTAGTATTTACTACAAGAACAGATTTATCCATTTTGATTACTGAGGTAAACGATGGCTCGATAGTGCCACCGATATCAGAATTTGTGTGAGACGGCATCTCGTTGGTGGGTATTAGTTCTTCATAGTTGGTGTATGTACTCACAGATTCGCTAAAATTGTCAGTTAATTCCATTGAGATATCACCTATTAATGTTGTCTCAGGTAGTGTTGAGGAAGATGTAACAGAATCTGTGTATGAGTCAAAATTTGATAGATCTAAATTATCTAGTGAATTACTGGAATATTTCAGTGTTTCTGTAAGTTGTTCAACTGTTTCAGTGTAATAAAATGTCGAGCCAGAGAACTGAGTTGTTTCAAGGGAGGGGGGGTGGTTTGTTTCGTCAGTTGAGGACGCTGTTTCTGATAATGATTCCGTTGCTTCTATACTGTTAGTAAAAGAGACAGTAAATGAAAATGACTCTTCTGATAATTCACTGACAACACTAATTGTAGCGTCTTGCATAAGTGATGATGTTTCTACGACGAGTGAGGATGAACTGTTCCAGAAATATTCAGTAAGACTTCTCCCTTTAAAAATATATAAAACATTAAATTACTTGTGAAAAGTTCATAAGCTGCTACGAATGTTTCGTGAAATGTTGTTTGTATTTCAGGATCGTTTTTACTCGGTTTATTAAATGACACTGGACTTAAAAGGAATAAGGGACTTTCTATGGTGGTTCGTATACGACTTCATTTATTTTTTTAAATTTTGAATATTAATTTTCACCTGGGTGAAAATACAAGTTTTTAATTCAAAATTAGGTTTTATAATCATATTCCAGTTTTTCAAAATGAAAAAAATAAATGATGTCGTGTACGAAGCACCGTGGCTTTCAGAGTAACTACTTCGATGGACTGGTATCATTTTTGTTCTTTTTTTGTTCGTGATCTTTGCAGGTTCTTTTAGTGATATGAACCATTTAGAGGACAGTATAAAACTTTATATTAAATATATAATAATAAACATGATACTTACCACTAGGATGATAGAGTTTTGGGACCTCCACAGACATATTACCAATTCTTATAGCTTAAAAAATATTTATATTTTAAATTATATTACATAATTGTTTATATTGTTTATCAATTATGTAAATTTAATATTATTGTCCTGTTGTTTAACGTTTCGACTAATCGCCTTCTTGAGAAACATTTGAATAATTTATATTTTACGTCTTTTTTATACTTATTCTGTTTAAACGTTAAGCAATATGGAAATGATATAATATTTACATTTTATATCAAAATTCTTAAAAAATGGCAATAGGTAATAGATAATACTATTACTAATAATATTGTAGTCATTGAAATATATCTTGTTCATGAATAAATAGTAGTAAGGTAGTATAAAGCAAAACGGATGTCACTCTAGAGATTGTTATGGTCGATCAATGCAGAAACCATATTAATACGACCAAACACCATGCAGCAAAATTTTTGGCAGGTTTAAACAATTTGATAGATAAACACGCAAAAAGTGGAATTAGTCTACATGACAGCTTACAACAATAAAAATGTGATGACCAACATTTAATTTGTACTTGCGTATAGTCAAACATCAATTATATCAAATCCTCACTAAATATTAATCAACCTTACTTTGTTGCAAACATAATTATCAAATTTAAAATGTTCTCCAAGAATGTGGAATGGTGCCCATCTAAAGCCTAATTTTTGCCCTGAGTTCAAACTGCATTATTACAGAGCAATAAACCAACGTGAAAAATATACGACAAAAACTTTAGTCTTCATAATATGCAGGAGATGGTAGCAGTTTATGTTTTGCGCAACGGTTAAGGTTAAACGGTGAAAAATCGAAAACATCATCTTTGTTTCTACACAATTCAAACCAAAAAGAAATGCATTATGGCAAGAAAATCTTCATTGTGTGACATGTAGACCGTAACTTGTGTTCTGTTTTCCGATTATGTTTGTCAAATTATCCTTCTTGTGAAAGGGCTTCACCTAAGTTTCTGTGCCTCATCCTTTTGTTTTATGCAATAAAATATGTTTAAATCAACACTCTCTGTATCACGTCCAGAAGAACAGTTTTATCTGTAATAATTACGTTATTATTATTTATTATTATTAAATATGTTATTATAATTACCATGTGAACAACTGTATCTATACAAATCATAAGAATTATCTGTTTGGTAATTTGAGTTGTCGAAATAGTAATAAATATCCGACTGGTGATAGGTTATACAAGGAGCTACTATATTGATGTAGTTATAAGCTATACAGGACTTATCACTGTCACAAATTCCAATGCACTGGAGATGACTTTTTAAAAAATGTAGGGAGCCATCGTTCCCTTTAGTTTTATAAACCACCTCATAACCACAAACACCTGTAAAACAGAAAATTATATAAATGTCGAACGTGGTAGATAGAAAACAAAAGATACCCACATTGAACTATTTAACGTCCCACACCTTACGGCAAATAAATATCTATTCTTCGCAATCGGAAATGGTATTATAGTTTTAGCATCATCTTATTTGAATCTTATACCTAAGTACTAAGTATACCTTATATCTAAGTAATTATTTACCTGGTTGTTCACAAATAAATGAATGGCTATTGGTACAGTTATCTTCTAACCATAGTAAAGTTGTTGAGGCTCGAACACATGTCCCGTGTGTATTAGACGGTAAGCTTTCCCATTTGTCCCAGGTAGCAATATCGGTCCCATCTTGCCATAGAAATGTCAAATTTGTATATCTCTTCAATCCGATCCAGAATGATGAAATTCCACCTCTGAAGTATAATGCAACATAAAGATTATGTAGGCACTTTTCAAGCCTCATATAAATGTAACCAAACAGTAAATTATTTATTTCAGATATTCGATAAGAAACTGCAAATTTGTTCCTTCAAATATCGATCTTGTGATTTCGTGGCACAAATGGTCGTTTTAAATTACAAGCAACTAGAATTGTCTATTAGGTGATAAAACAATGAAAAATTTTTTTTATTAGTTTTCTTAATGTTCTTATTTATTGTGTTTCAAGATTAACATTTCTTAAAATAATTATTCAATGGTTTCTCGAATTTAATATTTTCTTAAGAAACACACTTACAGTGAAGGGGTGGCTATTTTCAGAACATCTGTAAACTCTTCAGTGCTTCTATATTCTAAAAGCGATGCTCCAATGTGCGAACAAACGTCTTTCGCTTCTTGCCATGTAACTGCTCTCTCAATAATGGTATAAACTAAACAAACATACCAAAACCCATCAACCCATACAATGTTAACGTTTATTATTTTTAAAAAAAATCAATTTTAACATTACAATTTATTGTATTGGAACTGTATTCTAGAAAGCCCATTTGATATCGAAAAGAAGTTTGGATCAGTTGGATTTGGATTAAATGTCTATGTCATAATAGTTAAATAAATACAGTAGCTTTCTTAAATTTCAAGATACAATAAAAAAAAAAAATACAGCATGGATAATGATGTTTATTCAGCCTAGTTGATCATCACAAAAGTAATCAGCCTCTATCTCAATTTAAATGATCAAACCAAAATAGATAGAAAAATGTCACATTTATCACGCTCAAAAAATCTCCAAAAAATCGTGCCAGATTTTGTGACACAGATAGGGAATTTAGTTGAACAGAGGCTGTAGGCGACAAGTAATAGTCTACTCTTTTGTTCCTTGTCTTTTGGTGGTCAAACTGATGCACAATATTGCTAAAACAGTTACGTTGAACTAAGATAATTAAGGGAGAAAATAAAATTATTGAGCGACGTCTGACTTGATAAAGCTACTTACTAGACCCCGTAGATGGTGTACTAAAACAGTTAGTATATGGTATATTAGTAGGCGAGATAGATGGATATACTGTATTATCTACGTCCACTAAAATTGAAAGTAAAAAAAATTATTTGATTTTCGGTTCAAAAATTCGTAATCATTTGAATAATAAAAAATTTTCGTTCAAGAAAACGTATATACATACTGTACATACTGTATATACTGTACAATATCTATTGTTTGGTGTTTAAAAGTCTAAGGATCTTGAATAATTGTTGCTTTTCTCCTACTTAAGCTCCTAGTATACTACAAAGTATATTGGCTACTATATTCCAAAACTTGTATAGAAAATACCATCAATACCCACTTGCGGAACTTACCTTTCAAGCATTGTTTCTTCAAAAAAATGGAACCAGTATTTGATGTTTTACCACCATTATCAAAGATTGTAGAATCATTCGATAAATGTAGAATACATGTTTCAGTGTAAATATAGTATGTAACTCCCCAACATTCCATTCCATTCAGTATAGCCTCATCACACAGGCGCAAACAATCATTTTGTCCCATCACAGCTGCATTAAAACTAATACCCTGTATTCCAATAGTGTTGTTGAAAATAATATAATCACACAGACCTAAAACATAAATAATTATTGCACTGGGTAGAAACCAAATGAATGTAGTCGTTGCAGACATTTTTTGGCAATAAAGTGCGACACAATATTTATTATCACCCAATGTCCCGCTTTATATAAATACCATTTTTTATCAAAACCCGTTATACTAGACCTATTTTCCACAGATCTGTGACTTTTTACGTCTTTTACAACAGCTCAGGTGGACGGAATATATATACGTGCATTGAGTATTAGTATGTAGTTTGAGTTCTAATTAAGATATCCAAGAAATTCCAACGGTTAAATGGGAATTCACAGCTTTAATTGAGGTATGTTTCAAAATAAATGTAAAAACTTTGCAAAAAAATAAAAATTTTACAAGGTTAAAAAATTACGTAATCAGATTAATTTGTTCTCTAGCTCACTGATTTGACACCAAGGTGTGAAAGTTCGAACCAACAGATTTATTGTTGTAACACTCACTTGACACCCTCTCAATCAGTTTGACACGTTAGGACTTTATGCGCAGAGTCGCATGGTGATTTTGAGAAATCGGGAGTTCTAACGCCCAAAGTGATTTTAAAACTTTGATGACACAGTTATATTTGTATCAGCATTCTGTCTGTATCCTGTAATTTTCACGTCGATCCAATAATTAGCGCCAAAGTAGAAAATTTCATAAATTTTTCATGCAATTTTTTTCCTCTATAATTATAATTTGTCTATAGTATTCGATAGATCTTGTTACAAAGGACATAAAAAAGAAAACTCGAGATAAATCGGTCCACAAATAAGCTCTACAGCCTCAACACCAATTTTTTGCACATTAGGTCTATGCAATATATCACTTCCGGTTTAGCAAAAATTCCAATTAAGAAATTCATTTGTTGATTCCAGCCCATTTAAAAAAAACTTTGGTCGAAACACAAAACAAAAGTACTTAAAATGGATAAATCGATTTGCCACACGTTAAAGGATATAAGAATCAGATGTATGAAATGTCGTGATGTGTGCATCTTAAGCAGTGATTTGAAAGCTGTAAGTGAACGTGCTGTGTGGGCAGAACATGTGGTGTTTTATTCCATAGACGGGGTGCACAGTTAGCGAAAGCTCGCGAACCGCAACTTTCTTTCCAATCAAACGTTCAATGCGTTTAGTGACAGGCAGCCAGTTTAATTGAATAAAAAAGGAGTAACGTGTTCGTGAAATCAAATTGATTGTTATTTCTTGGTGAAATTAGGAAGGTTGTGCAGTAAACTGTTGCAGAAATCAAGTCGTGAAGTTATAAAGGCATGAATCATGCGGTCGAAATACGATATAAGAGAAATAAGCAGATAGTTGAAACATGACAAGATCCAGAAGCGACAGTAGTAATAAAAATAAAAACTTTATTAGACACCCAGTTGCATAAGGCATTCTTCCCTGGGATCTTTCTACATACAACTACAATTACATATTTACAAAAGGATAAACTGAAAGTAAGAAAGAAAATAAATGAATATATGAAAAGTAGACGAATGAATATAGGAAAATGTATGTGACTAACACATAAAATAATTGAATTAAAGGTAATATTTACCTTTAATTATCAAAGATGAAGAGAAAATAGAAAACTATTAGTAACATTATTATATCGTAATTCCCCTTTCAGTCCTGTCTTAAAATTATCTACATCATTAGATTGTTTAAGTACCTGAGGTAATGCATTCCAGAGTAAGCCTTGTATTTACATGTTAGATGATTTTTTTGTTTCCGAACCTAGACAGAGATTTGTGGTAGAAACTGAAGATAGTAAAATAATTTTGAAAGTAATGAGGACATTTTCCGTTCATAATTTTGTAAGTCAGTATCCTAGTGTTATATTTGGTTCTTTGTTCAAGAGTTAGCCGATTTAATTGAGAAAGCAATATCAAACATAAAACCAAGAATTTTTATTACTTTACTCGGATCCACATAGCAGTCAACGACTCTTAGCCGGTCTAGTTCTTCTGTGACTTGGGAACGCGAATGATTATCTCAGAAATGGGATTGTTTTTAGTTAAACTAACCAGCAATAGTGTTCACAGCTCACCGTCGACATTTTAGCCTTCAAAACCTCGTGTGTCAAGTATTATTCGCGTTTGAATGTTAAAATGACGACTGTCATAGAAATATAATCGACCAAAACAAAATTATTGGTTCAAAGAATAAAATGGTGAACACATACCTCCGTCGGTTTCACAAACAAATGAATTCACATCAGTACAATCTTTTACTCTCCAAGCAGGATTACTAAATTTTGATCCTTTATACAGAATGACACAATACAAAATATATTCCTCTGAATTTGAATCCAAATCATCATAATTTCCTATTGGTGTACAATCTGTCCAAAAATATTCAGCTGTGTTTTCCTTCAGGGCAGCATTATGTAAACCAATGTAAAACGAGTCACCGCTGAAACAAATAAAAAAATATATAAGCAGGAATGAAGCAATATAAGCAATTTATCTGTTTTAGTAATTTTCTTGATAACCCTGCCTTATATCATATATGATGTAAAAGTTTTATTTCTGGATTTGGAGGGTTTGCAATAAAGACATCATAATAAATGGTATTTTCTGGAATTGCGGGAGCCACAGTCCTAGTCGGATTGGAAATGAGGGTGGTGCAAGATGGACTTATAAATTTCCCCGATACACATACGAAGGCTAGAACACGTTTTGAGCTCAACAACTGTATTATTATAAATTGCAGTTTTTGCCGAATTCGCATCATTTCGGTTGTTAACCTGCATTGTATGTGGTAGACTACATATATAGTACTCTTAGAAATCTAGTATTAGAAACTAATGGCTTGTTTACCCGTTAACCCATGTATTATCTAGTCGATCCAACAAAAATGAGTTTTCCGAACTGCTCTCAATTTTCACCAAATATCCACCACGTAAGGAGCATATCATATTAGCTGCATTCCATGATTGTTGATCTGTGTACATGGTGTATGTCTTCATGCTGGTTGGAATTGACCAAACACCTAACAAACAAAATGTGTAGAAAAATATAGAATATTTCAATACAAGAGGATATGATTGTAACAAACTGCGAAATGAATTCATGAACCACCTGAAAGCAAAGCAAATACTTTTTTTTCTATATAACATGGAAATTCCATTCATTCCCCGCAAACTACGAGAGCCTATTGCTGACCTGGAATCAGCACAACAAACCGAAAGAAGGAATGAAATGGACAGTCGGAAATTTGAATACCAAATAGATTTCCTCTTTGATATTTCAACAAAACAAGCTGAAGCCCTGACCCAAACAGAGAATGAATTTATGAAACTGATAGAAAAGTGCTCCGATGCAGATGCATGTCAAATTATAAAGGACCTCTGGAAAACCGAAATCAACATACAGGAGGAGAAGTCAAACAAAATCTGGAGAAAGCGAACAGAATTTCTGCTTTCACTGCCAAGGAGAGAGTTCGAGCCGAACACGGAGGAGACTAGCCTTGAGACAACAGATAATGGCTGGCGAACCGTCCCTCCGAAAAACAAACCAACACGCAAGAACCTTTTTTGGAACAGGGAAACAAACGAAAACGACCCCCGAAACAACGTCAAAACGGACAATACCAACATCAACACAGTTACCAATCGACCATGTCCCAACAGAGACCGAACCACCGGCAACGACAAACCCAACAGGACCGTCCATGGAATCGCATACCTTTCTGGAAGAAGAACCCATCACAGAATCGGGATTACGAGGAACCAACGAACTCGAGAACTCGAGTCAACCAGGATTCCAGACGGATCAACCACGGAAACAATCGGGACAACAGACCACCGTGGAATCAGCCGAACCGGAGAGGATAAATTCGAAAATAACCAATTTATCATCTCATTCACTGAATGAAAATGAGATCAAACTCCTTACTCGTGGTCTCAAATTCACGCCAACACCCCGTAATCCAAACGAATGTGAATTGAAAAGTGATGTAAATTATAATTTGGAAAAGACGGTTAGGTGATATTAATGATTTATATGACTTACTCAATAACCTTGATCCCAATATCAAATTTACAATTGAGACAAATGAACTCAAAATTTCATTTTTGGATGTTTTAATCATCAGGAAAGATGATTTAATAATTACAGATCTCTTTTCCAAAGATACGAACACAAAAAAGAGATTATCCGATTAATTTAATAAAAACGGGATAGGGAGAGCGAAACAAATTAATGTAACCTCACTGAGAACACCTAGATCAAAATCAACCTCGGATTGTATTCCCTTTATTTCAACTTACAATCCGACTCAATTTTTTCCTCACATTTTTAATAGCAAAGATATATTATCTTCAAACGATAATCTTACTAAATGTTTCGATGGAGTTACACTCATCAATAGTAAAAGACAACCCCCTAATCTAAAAAGAATATTAACTAGTGCTAAATATCGCAGTTTTGATACCACATACTCTACATCATGCTGTGGAAAGTCTGCTTGCAAATTGTACATTCACCTTCAAAAATTGTAACTTTAATTTTAAAATTAATAGTAACATGGACTGTAACGGAACCTCATATATGTACTTATTTGTAACAATTGCAGTAAGACATACATTGGTGAAACGGGTGGGCCTTTGAACCTTCGAACGAATAACCATAGGAGAGTTCTAAAAACCCAGAAAAGGCACCATGTGCCGTCTCGAGACATTTAAATAGATGCGCAAATCATCTAAGTATTAAATTTAAAGTCTTCCCATTCTTCCAATTATTTACTGACAATGTGCAATCCAGACGACAAAAAGAATCATGGTTCATTAACAAGCTTAAACCTGAACTAAATGTACAATTCTTTTCTTAATTATATTATATTGTTATCTCATTATATTATATTTTTATTTAATAATCAATTATCCCATAACCCTGATTAGGGTTTTTAACTAGTTTCAACACAATAGTTTTATTTACTATCTTGCATAAGTGAGTAACTATGGTATTTTATGTTTGTTTTGAATAGTGACCTCCGAATTGTTTATATTGTTGAAAGTTAAAATTATTTTATATCTCTGAAGAAGCTATTAATCTGAAAGCATGCTAAGATATTATGTATATATGAATTGAATATGGATTAAATAACAACTTGTTCTGTCGAAAATGGATTAAAAAGTGTTTCATTTTACCAAGAATTGATGACAACCCTAATTACTTATACATGTATATTTAGAAAAAAAGGATTTGCTTTATTCACGGTAAAATATATAAGAAACCAGGGTTGTCTTCAATTTGTGGTAAAATGAAACTCTTTTAATCCATTTTCGAGAGAACAAGTTGTTTACTCACCCGTGCACCAAAATAATAGAACCATGAATCGAAAACAGTTCATCTAAAAGTAAAAAACACAATACAATTTTATTATTAAGAGTACGACAAATTGATAATATATATATATATATATATATATATATATATATATATATATAAATATACGAATGTTATCTCGAAATGTCTCAACTAATCTCTCTCAGGTTACATCACATTTGACTAATCTTTTCAATTTCTGATTGTTTCTCATCATAAGAAACTTTGAAATAACAATATTTCATGTGATTTATGTCGCATTGCACTGAAAACCTCTCAGGTGAAAAAAGTGCATGTTATGTTGAGAGATACAAAGTTATACAATAGTTGGAAAAACGTCCTGAAATGGTATTTTAAACAGTAAAATAAGGCTAATTGGTCAGTCCAAATCACTTGACACACCTGGACATACGCCAAAATGGCAGCTATATCCAATGAAATCATGACAGGTTAACAAAAGATGGTATCCAACAGTGCCAGCATTTTTTAGCCAAGGCCAGCTCTAAAAATCCTCAATCTTCAAAAATTCCTCACTATTACTGATTCTGAAACACACATAATCAAGAAGGAGACATTTAAGTCAATAATCGTATCCTGTTCAATCGAAAAGAGATGGTTGGTGACTTCCAAGATTGATATGGATTTTATAAACCGAACAAGTACACTATAAATCATAAAGAAATTCAGATTATAGAGACAATCGATATTCTAAAAGACATGAACGGTGAACAATGAATAAAATGAGTACAAAATTTTTTTCAAAATAAGAGTAAATTATTTAAAACCACGTTGATTTTATAATGTTTTAGGTCAACTGAATTAATTGTAAACTGTAGCTACATTATTGAAAAAAATATAAACTTTCTCGATTTACGTTACTTATTCGCGGGTAGATGACTAATAGTGCAATATTTCAAGTTATGGTCGTTTCAGTTTCGTGATGCCCTGGGCACATTGGTTAACGACTAATCCAGGGCTTCTCAACCATCCATTTCCCCACTAGAGAATTTTTTCTGCAGACACCTCTAAACCATCTGCCCACGACCTAGGTATCAAAATCTCAGATTTGTTTTTGATTTTTTGTATCACTGAAAAAACTGAAAAGTTTGAATTAAAGAATTTAAAACAAATTGGGTTTAAAGCAGCGTCTTTTTTCACATGTACATGTAGATAAATTATATCTTACCTTCAGTTTAGTCTTAAACCTTTATATAATAAGAGTATATTTATATATTATATCAATTCCACTAGTTCGTATTGCTCCTAGGTGTCTATCATCTATAAGATATTTTTCTTCTCAGTTTTCCACTACTATTGTTTTATATTAGAACCATTATGATGTACTTCGATCTTTCAAATGGTTTAACAATAAATCTGCGTATGATCAATCAAATATCTTATGCTGGCAACAACTATCCTTTCCGTGCATGACAGCAGAAATAGAATGACAGCTACATTGATAATAGATTCGTAAAATAATACACATATCACGCAACTGTATAATTTCTAAAAGCTGACACGTATTCAAATCAAAATGCATATAAATTATGAATTTGTTTCATTTACAGCTTTAGAAGGTTTTCCATCAATATTTTGCAATAGACAAATATATATCTCTCCACAACCACACACAACCTTGGTAAAGTTCGAATATTTGGAAGAAAAATAACTATTACACGCCTATATATTTGATACGTTTATCGGTAGACTGGCCGTATATAAAGGAGTTAATTGGGTATCTATTTGTTGATCGTGGGGTGCATGTCCTCATTCCAATAGTCCGAATTGTTAAGTCTGTATTGTAATGCCTCATTTGGTGTAAACTTGATGCATTTAAGTGAAGTGACAGTTGGGTCCCCTGCTCTACTACCTGGTCGAATTGATTTTATATGATTTATTTTGGTGAAGTCTTTGAAAAAGGTATGATCCAGATACTTCACATCATATGGTGCTGGTGTTCTTCTTGCAATTTCCATAACACGAACATAGTCAGCTGCGTAGTATATTTCAGTATGTTTTAATTTCTGTTGTATAGCTGAATGTACACTGTCGACCTCCATTTGAGTGTGACCTTTCCAAAATTTTCTGTATAATTATCTTACAAATGTTTGTAATGCTTTTACAATAATAGCATTTCTATTTTGATAGGTGCACCCATCGCTGTAAATGATGGCTGTGTCATATTCATCTCGTGATTCGAGAAGAAAATCTCATATACATGAAGCGAATTCATTTGCTGTAAGTCCACCCTAACCTTCATGCCATACGTAACATCTCACACTCTTGGTAGCAAGATTTTATATTGTGAAGTTATGGACCGACAGCATGGTTTTATAGTAAAGGGTGGATGCCTTTAAACGGGGGGATGAAAGGACAGCCTGCATTTACATCGCCAGGGTCATGATTCTTTTGCCGTCAGGGTTTATACTCAGCGCTTTATCTTTTGCTTTTTCGGCTCGAGACTCATCCTTTCGAGCGATATGGACAGACCACACATCTTCAGTTATATTTCCAGTCTCCTATGCAACACAAGTGTCACGCTGATCTTTTTGGGCTGAAATAGAGCGAGATTTAAGTTGTTAAATTCTTCAGCAAATAGTTTCCTACTTAATTTTGTTCTTTCGTGTCAGAATGGAGGTTATAGAGGTGAGACATAGATCTGATGTCAGGTTTCAGGTACAGCTTGAAAGAATTACTTGCCATTGTCTCCCCGGGAGTGGTATGGCGATCGTGCCTTGTCTGTGGTCTTTGTGGGGTTATCACACCAAGCTTTTATAGACCATGTACCCAAGTCAGTTGTTGATGTAAACATTTGTCTGCAGACTCTTTTGCGGACCCCATCCTACTTGAAATGATATACATAGGTTGATGAGCGCATGGATGTTTCTGCTTCTGTTACTTTCTGTTTGGGTTCTATTATATCAACTAACGAATTAACGTAAACTTTTCGCTGTTTCCAGTTCTTGTGTTCCCATACGTCATTGAAAATCGACTGCCTATCATCTTCAGAAAACTCTCCACATGATCTCTTCTCTGTGATTTGCAACTACACTTGGTCTTGATTCTTCTAGAGCCCTATTCAACGTCACCTTTATTCTTTTTCTTTCCACGATATGTTTTACCCTTTTCTCTTATTTGTTTGTTCACATTTTGATTCCATGTTTTTGGATTTTCTCTCCCATTTCTAGCTTTCTTTTTCTTTATTTTATTGTGTTCAACTGACTCTTCTACAACCAACTTTCTCTTCACAGTCTTGTTCGCATGAGTTTCCTCTTTGGCGATAATAGAATCATGTTCATCCTGAACAGAAGGAACACAATCTGGATCATCTTTCAGCGCAACGTTTGTGACTAAAGGACAGGTTTCAAAGACGGCTTCCATTGTAGGCAAAAATGATTCGACTTCACACAAAGACACTTTGAACATCAGAATTATCTCCATCTTCATCTGTTTTGTCATCAGCAATAAGTTCTGCCAAGAAAAGTAGAGCTTTTTCATTTTTCATATCAGCAATCTCTGGCATTAGTTTCAATAATTTAGTTTAAATAATAAAGATTAAGGCCCGTATGCACCATATAAAATCAAATTAAGAAGAATAGAATTATTTTAAACCTTAAATAGATTTAGTTAAATGTATTTAAAGATAATTCTATTTTTTGTATTGACCAACTTACATTTAACTAAATATATTTATCTGTACTGTAATTGAAATTCCTTTTTCCATTCAAACCACCATTATACACAATCTATATATGACAAAAGAGTTTAAAGATTGGTCACTAAGACATATTTCTTACTTAACATTTTAATCACTGCTGTATGTTTCTTTTAAAGTTAATTCTGCTGACTTTAATTGACATAGGATCCACAGGCTTTCATCAGGAAGTAGGTATTCAAATTAGCTTTAATTTGATATCAAAAACTTACACAAAAATTAACATAGATTATTTCCCCTGATGATGACAACAGAAGGTAACAACTGGACTCGAGGACGGTTGACAGTAATGATTTTGAATATGTAATTGTATCCATCAACATCGTCTGTATTTTGCAACATCGTAATAAAATAGTTATAGTAAAACATTCACCACTTTCTTCTATTCTACCATCGAGAACAAAAACTCATTTTGACAAAAAATTGAATTAAAAGGTTTTATCAGCACTAGGACGATATATGACCTGTTCTTAGATCATACATTTTCTTTTACGCTTCGTGGGTCATTTATCTTGTCACATGATAGCAACTCGTTTTCATTAGCCCAATAGGTATTGGACGTAACACTCCATTCATTTCATTCCATTATATTTGATATGACAGCGTCTGTTTCCCCATTACGATAACATGATCCACATTCATTCTATATATTGAACTTCTCAAGAATTTTAACGATCATTGCATATTATATCATATTTTTCAGTAAGACATGACAAGCGTATTTGTATTGCAAAATTCCAATAGAAAAACCAAAGTAATCATCTCGCACATCGAGTACCGTATTTTCGATTCCTATACCCTAAAAGAAAAAAGATAAAACATTCGTAAGAAAAAAGGATCGGTGGTCATAACAGAAATATTCTGTAGTTGAAATAAATACCAAAATGTTGGTTTGGTTTTACCATCGCCAAGACAGGGACCCTACACACCATCCCATGATTTCATTCTTTGTATTGTTGTCAAAAGAATCCATGACATATCGCGTTTTCTTACAACTGATAATTTTTAATAAGCATAATTATTTTTTATGTGACAACCAGAGACATGTTCAAATTGGGGAACCATCAATCCAGAACAGCGTAAGATAGTATCTCCATTATTGAAGCCATCAGAAAACGTGGTCGATGAAAGATTATTGTTAGGCCATATTGTTGTTACACCTAGATAACTTCTTAAGAATAGTTTTCATTGGCTGGAATTTTAGACAATCTCAATTTTACTTCTAAAAACACGCGAAATGTTTATGTTTTTTTGATACAAATTTAAACTAATAGAATTAGAAAATGGAATGAGCGATATCAAACAACATTTTATTCATTGCACCACATAACAAATGGAAATGTTTTTCTTTTCGTCCTAGCATAACGTTAAGTTAACCTTTTAATGAATATTTCAAAATTATTATACAGCAATTACAATACAATCAATTTAGATTGAAATCGTTTAACCTGGAATGTGGTGTATCGATATTTTTATATAAAATCTATTACAAAAATAATAGACAAAATAGTTTATCAGTAGATTACGTTATCAATATTTAACGAGGAATTTGAATGTTATGTAAGAAACCAGACATAAATATTCCCTGTATCATAAAGGAATGAGGGAGAGGACTAGAAGCAACTGCATGTTTCAGTTATCAGTAGAATGTTCAGGTCTCCTGTGATTGATTTGATTCTTCAATTAATTACCCTCTATTCCAAACTCAAATTACATCAGTCCCTTTTTCGCCTTTTTCTTCGCTTTCTCGACTTCTCATCCTTTTCCTCACCTTCTCGACTTTCTCTCGCCTATGATGGCCTTTAGCTGCCACATACCTTTTGCCAATTGCCTTTTACTTCAACAATTCAGTTAACAAATGTACATGATGACATGGACAACTTGTTGTATTAAAGATAAGAGGATTATTAAGCAGATTGATTAGGAATACAGATCAAGTTCGTATACATTTGGTACACTGAACATAACAACTAATAGCAAAACTAGAAGTTATTCAGATCTCCAATAATAAGATGGGGACTGAATAGGACAATCAAGGTTTGAAAATTTCTCATTAAATTCTTCAAGAGTAAAGTAGTTGTGAAGGAAAATTTATTTTCCTAAACAGACAGTTTTCATATCTAGTTTACATGCTTTACGATATCTATAATATGCCTATATAGAATCAGTTTCTAACTACAGTCTTGTCAAACTAAAAACTGAAGGGTTACGGAGAAACTTCAAAATATCTAACACGACAACTAAATTAACCCATTTGTTGCAGTCTTTTATCAAACGGCTTCCAAAACAGCATTACGGTGACTTACAAAATATGATTCGTAATGTAGACCAAACGTTTTGTAATTGCCTCTTCTTACCCAATAGACAAAAAAACTATTTTCTATCTCATGATAGATTTGATCCCATCTATAGATACTCATACTTGATTTTTCCTTGATATTAGCTGATTGAATAAGTATATTAATATCTAAATCCCTTTGTAAAGATTTTCATCTTTTCAGAACCTATCACACTCTCTTTAAGAACTGGTGGCAAGAAGACAACAGGTTTATCGTAGAATACCGGTACAAATTTTAACCTGAAAGGCCCTCTATACTACCTATTTCTTTATTTGAGACCTTGCATTCTTAAATTGGAGAGAAGACCTCTGTTTCTTCGACCTAATAGCACCCATATCAAATTAAGTACAAAAGACATAGCAAAAATGTCAATGAACTAATGTCATTGTAATGACTGATATCTATACGGTCTATAATTCACTAAAAAATCTATCAATTTAATGTAGAAAAGATGTTCATCGATCGATTTGACATCAATATTTCTGTTAAATTCACGTTTGAATGAAGCCAATTTAATACATTTTGATTTTACTTTAGATATAATTAAAGTGTGATCAACGACAATCTACGGTGGTTTGTTTAGGACATGTTTAATTTTTTATAATTTATGGTTTAATTCCACTTATTTTTAATTTGTGTTTACTATTTTATGTGACTGAACATGAATATCATTGCTGTACTATTGAAGATTATAAAGATGCGGACAAATATTTGAAAAATTTCATTGATTTTCAACTGCAGTTTGCAACCTATTTCAAGATCAATAAATTGATTGTTCTCGATAATGTCAGTCAGTCAACACACGAGCAATAATTTGTTTCGCTATAAGTGGTTACCAGATTCCCTAACACTATATTTTCTTGATACTCAATTCGTTTAATCTATGACCTATCGCAATTTGAAGCTCTCTGCTCTTTTATTAATTTCAATGTATTCAACTCTGGTTCGCACTTTTTTTTTGGCAAAAGTGACTATCAAATTTCCAATACTTTTCGCATACAACAAAAATCGTAGCCACGTTAAACATATATACTGACTTGAACGTAACTGAACACGGATATCATTGCAGAAAATTTCCACATTTCATATGAGCGTATTTAAATCAAAAGTTTCGGATAAGGAATAGATAATACTTAAGATGGGTTTCCTTATTTTTTAGTGTCAAATTAAGCAAACTATTTGAACTTAAGTGGTGTTTCTAATGAATTATCATGTATTCTCAATCATATCATTATTTTCTTACATTGCATGTAATTAAGAGTTTTAACCAATAAGAAATGTCCATGTATGTACAGTCTGGATGATCAAAAAAATATTTTTTGACGTTTCTTGTTCGGTCACTCATTTGAATTCTGCTGGTAATTCTCTTCTAATTTAGCTAATTATGAATTAATTATGGACATGTGAGACAAACTGGTTAATTTCCAAGTCATTACAACACCTCTACTTTCTATTCATGTAAGTATTAGCATTTTCATTTTCATAAATGAAAATAAGGGAACCCATCTTTACAGTAAAAACTCATCACAAAAAGCAATTACAAAAATTTTAATAAAACGCAGTAAAAAGTGTTCTAAAATCATCTCTGAACTAACAATAAAATCTGCAGTACATATACCTTTGGCCAGCAATAAATTTACATTTGTTTTTAATGTAGAATAAGACGTCTTAATCCTAAGTCCGTAATCCTTAATTCTTACTCCTTCATTTGTTGGTCATTTTTGACATTTTTGACAAAATTATGAAGTAAAATTTGTAAAATTCTATTCTTTTTACTATTAAAGCCAAATTAAAAAAACACGGGTCTCTTTACATTTCTTCGGTAACAAATCTTCAAATACAAATCATGCCCATCAAATGTTGCTTAACATTTCACCAAATACATTTCTCGAATATCAAACAGTGCCATCTGTCTTCATAATTGTGTACATTGAAATTATGACGACAATTATCGTTGTTAGATTATCTGATACAGACTATAGATTCTGATAGTGACGTAATGCCAAACTGAATGTAGTCTAGAGCTTCGGTTACATGAAGCCCTTAGCGATTGTAAATATTGCTTTCTCTTCTTCTTATGGCGTTCTGCGATTTTTCTGTTTTACTTTTCTTTACGGAGGCTAACTTTAAAGACCAACAAAACGACGTGATTTAGCAATTCAAACGTCTACTCTGCTGCTGTAGTCCATTCATAAACGATTTTCGGGTTTTCGCCGCCATGTTCTGTGGGTACCAAACTTCGACCTTGACCTTAGTCAAGCGCCATCGTAATGCATTGGCAGCAAATCTTTCCTCTTCGTTCCATCTTCTATTATTATAATAATCTTTTTAGAAATAATTACAACATCATGTAGACAAGGGGAAACCGGGTTGAAAAATTCGATGGCATCATCTCGACCCATGCTGGGGTTGTAGGCCTACCCTCGACCCTCTTACCCTTATAAAGTGGTTATTTTTATTTTAACCGTTCTACAAAATCAAAAGACGAGTCTTTAATGTTATTTCCAAACACGAATAAATATGAATATATATGGCGAAGAAGACGAAAAGCTGCGACGGAATTAGTGATTAGCTCAGCTGAACAATTTCCGTTTCCGAATATGTTAAATCGTAACCTTCAAAGAGTGATAATGATAGACTACTTCTGATCGAGAATGGTAGTTTGTTTGAATGCTTAAAAACACCTTCTTCGTGCGACTTTTGCCTAGCATAAGCCAACGTTTGGCGAGAAGAAAACTATCGTTACTAGATCGAAGGTTTCTCCAGGATCGATAGAAAGCTAGAAGATCACTTAAATTTTCCTACAGGAAATTGAAACAATAGGGTAATTAAAGGGAGATAACAGCATCAAAAATAAAAGAAGATTTCACCTATTTGGACTAAGATCGGTAATTTATTTGTCATCTGTTTCCATGTTCAATCACGAAATTCAACCTTCTATAACTTTTTCCAAAAATCTCGTTGAAAACTTTCCAATATGTCACATTAAAACCTGGCCAATACTTAAGTTTCTGGACAAAAATTCAATATATCATAACCATGAAAATCTAGGCAAACTGAAAGTAGACCACTACTTTTTATCAACGTTTGCTAGCCTGTCACTGCACACAAAACGACTATTTTTAGAACTGTTTCTCGTTATTTTACAAAATCTGAAAGAAACATCAAATTCCAAATCTGGACCAAAAACTAGTCAAAAATAAGCATGCAAAAACCCAAAAGGGGATTTCTTCATTAACACGGACAATATTATACAATCATTTACATAAGAAGTTTTAGTGGTCTGAGTCTTATTCGTATATGAAATAATTTTACTGCATTGTTTATCAAGGGAAGTAACTTGTACTAGAATTTAAAGCATGCGTAACTAGCATTATGAATTTGAATCTGTTAAAAAATGTTATTAATTTTGTGAACAGAGGGGATGAAAGTAACTTCACTTAAATACCTCATATTCTTTGGACGGTGCATCAAAATCACCAATAAAAGCTATTGAAACAATTTTGTATCTGTTAAGCATGGCATTTCCACAAAGACGCACCTGAGATTAGCAGAGAACCCTGTCAAACAGATAAACCAAGTAATGGCTAGAATACTAGACGAGAGTGTTGACTCAGAATAGGTTACAATTGTTCCGAACATGAACAGCAATCTTCACAAAACGAATCATAGCCTTCAGTCTGACTTTTTTTTCTGGAAGAAAAGTAATAATTTGCAAGCTGAAATCATAAATCTGTTGAAGTATTATTAGGCGAGAGCTAGGTGGGGTTAAACCAGAAGTTAAGCCCAAAAGCTTTGATTATTCTGTTGTACAGACATTGTTATTGGTTTTTATAATAAAGGCTATATCTAGATATAGCTCTTGAAAGATCCCAACAATTTGATTAGAAGATTATAAGACATATTTTTATAACAGCCTGTCAAATATTTGTAATCTAAACACAAGCAGTGAAAAGGTTGATTTCAGACCTACCATAGGATTAAACTGCCAATTTTTGTAATGTTTCGGTTTTGTTGATTTTCCGATAAAATTCTCATTGAGGTTTTGCCCAAAGGAACGTTATAGGAAGTACAGAAGGCACAGTAGGTCAGGTAGAATCTTGAAATTTAAAGCAAATTAACTTCAGATGTGTGTGAACATACAGTTCAAATTGCAAGATTACATGTCAGATAGTTTTGTAGCGACAGACTGCCAATTATTTGGAATGTTAACTCTGACAGTGATTAAAAACTACTCCTATAATCAAATGGCTATAATTTGTCAAATTTGACAAAGGTATAATTTTTATATCAGATTAAAGATGGGTTCCCTTAGTATTGTAATTGCTTTTTGTAATGAGTTTTTACTGTAAAGATGGGTTCCCTTAATTTCATTTATGAAAATGAAAATGCTAATACTTATACAAATAGAAAGTAGAGGTGTTGTAATGGCTTGGAAAAATACCAGTTTGTCTCACATGTCCATAATTAATTCATAATTAGATAAATTAGATGAGAATTATCAGCAGAATTCCAGTGAGTAACCGATCAAGAAAGGTCAAAAGTCTTGTTTTGTTTATCAAGACTGTACATACATAAAACTCTTAATTATATGCAATCTAAGAAAATAATGATATGACTGAGAATACATGACAATTCATTAGAAACACCAATTAATCAAATTGTTTGCTAAATTTAAACACTAAAAAATAAGGAAACCTATCTTTAACATACTCTGCTTCTATTTCAGTCGATCACCGAAAATCTCATACTTGGAGAATGTAGTCTTTGACATTTTGCCTTATGGCCTTAATAACTTTCTAAGTTGAGAGAATATGAACTTTTATATCTATCTAGCCTTAGAATGTAAATAAGATGTGGATAATCATCGTGCTGTTGCTAATAGCCCCGTCACACCGGACTACGAGCATTTGCGTTTTTACGGCGACTACAATTATACCTAGTCGCCAGCAAACGTGAAGAAAACTCGAAAAAAGTCCCATAAAATTGCAAATTCTACAACAGTCCCTGTTAACCAGCGATCATATTGCATTCCCAAGGTGCCTTTCTACTAAAATATATGGGCAGGGTGCACTTCATTTATCTCAATGGAGATCAACGGCGCCCACTCTGCGGTATCTGACACTTCCTTATGGCTACCTTTACATGCTCTGAACCAATTTATCGTCGCCGTAGAAGCTCAATGAGGACACGCGGGGCTATAATGGAACAAGATCTATAGAACAAAACGTTTGTGCGAAGAAAAATGTTGTATGCATGGTTGAAAATATTTCGAAATTGATCTTTACTTTAGTTGAATCGCTTGCAAGTATTTGGAATATATAAAAACATGAGATCGAGTACAATTTTCTTAATTTAATAATGCTTGTATTTCGTGTATATTGAGATTTCTTGACTTGAATCTTTAATCTAATCACTACATTTTCCAGAAGCGATCAACATGGACTTCCGAGAATATTTATTGAAGAATGGATGGTTTAGATCTACTGATCCTCCACCAACAACCAAGGGGCTTGGAGAGGTTGTTGCTGCTTCTAAAAGCAATTTGGACAAATGTCTAGATGATTTAAGTAGTAATAATTTGGCGCCAGTCTATGGAATTAAAACAAATGCAGATGAACAATATAAATGCGTCGAAAAAATATTGACTAAGATGTCGACAAAGAAACCAGTTCCACAACCAAATAAAGGTAATATTTCGTTAGCGTCATCTAACCCCAAAATTCAATATAATGTATAATCTTGCAAATGACATTGTCAATGAGTTTTGCAAACCATTATTACTTATGACGTCATAATAACGTTACATGACAATGCTTACATTATTCGACACTTTCTTGGAATACTAAGGCGTGTAAATCCAATTTACTGTGATTTAAGGAAATATTCACTCCTCAAAGCGTTTAAACATGTTAAAATAGCGGTAAATACAATACTTTGTGGTGCCTTTTCGCAAATGTACTAAGAATCTAAGTGATTGAAGAGGTATTAAAATATATAAATTAGTTGATAGTTTGTTTTGTTTTTTTCTTGCGGTAATGGTTATGATAAATTTCCGAGAAGATGGTTTGCTGCACCTGAAGAGGGACTTGGTTCTCCCTTAGCTGTTATACTTCTCGAAACCATCGGGAAGAAAATATCAAAGAATCTCAAGGCTCTTTGACGCTGATTTATGCCCAAAATGTGCAAGTGAGTAAATACTCAGATGGAAAATAGATGTCCTCAACAACTCTCTCAGTATATAGGTCTGGTTGTTTGAGATTTCCTATATTATCTGTTGTTATTGTGTTTCAGGATCAGTAGATATGGTAAAACTCCAATACGCCCACAAATATATTTTCGGCGTATATTGTAATCACCCTGGCGTTCCGTCGGTCCGTTCACATTTGGCTCACTCTACAGTCTACAATTCTTTACCGATTCCTTTGATTTTTATTTTGTATGTCAATGTCATTATGAAAATGAACCCTATCAATTTTCGCAATGATCTGATAATTTTTCACCAAAATGTCGTTTACAACTTAGTGCATTCACTCCATTAGCAATATAGTGCAACTTTTGCCCTCTCTTCAAGCAACAATTCTTTATGGATTCTTTTGATTTTTATGTGCCCACACGTAACATGGAAGTATATTGTCATCTGTCCATCTGTTCACAATTGGCTCATGCTCACTGTACAGGCTACAAACAATGATTTGCAATTAAAGCTGCTGGTGGGCGAAGGTCACCTTGATTCTCAAAGCTTCTATCATCAGAATGTCATCGTTGGTGAACTTCCATTATCTAGAATCCTACTCTTTGAAAGCTGCAATTTGTAATAACATCGTGATTATCATTTCAGAAAAAATTATCAAAGAAAACGAGACGACATGAAGCTTATAACAGCAACCTTATCCAACACGGGTGGTCAGTAGTTAACAAAAGCAAGTCTAAGATCACAGTAGTCAAATTTCCCGAATCCACACAAATGGACGGCATTTTAACAGCATCAAATCGTGGTATGCTGACAAGAGATAGTGGTTATAGAAATTCGTTTGATTCTAGAATGCGAGAACAAATGCGAGGTTCAAAGTAAAAACAAGACTTTTAATAAAGTCACGTCATTGGAAAAGAGAGTCAAGGAAACAACAACGGGGATTGAAAGTGAAGCTGAAGCTTATGTTAATGTAGCCGGTAAGTGGACTCATTGCCACTTATTTCCACTTATTTCTTGGACACCTTCAATTTAGAGCAGAAAAGTAGAACGTAAAACTCCATTTCATAGAACCCTTCTTCTTGATCATCAATTGTTTTTATATTTGAAATTGATTATAGCAGGCGTCGCTAACTAGGTAGAACTTAATGCCGTTTGTCATTATTCTTTATCCAGAGAGTCCATGTAGCTAATATTTTGCATATTATACAGTCAAGTAATTCAATTTCGTGCTAACCTATTTTTCGTGCATCTTCGGAAATGATTAATAAGAACCCAAGCTCTAATCGGAATACCAAGTGTCGTCTGCTAGAATATATTCCAGTGAACAAAGTCACGTGACAAACAAGCGGAGTCCGTGTCAGCAGAAAAATTCTATGGAACACAATGTGGGCCATATTCTTATGTTGTATCAATGACTTTAAGCAATAAATCACTCTTACGTTTTACTTTTCTTATTTTGTCAGCCACTATTTTTTAAAAAAAAATCATTGTTCTTTGAAAGAATTATCATCAGTTATAATGAATTTATATTAAAGATAAATACTAAGAAAAGTTCATTATACTACCTGGTATCCATACGACTTGTTTTTCTCGACTTATTCATAGATCGAACATAGTACACGAAAATAGGTGACGCATTTTGCAGTCGTTGTCGAGTTACTCATGAAATATAGGTCAAAGTGCGGGGTTCATAAAGAAAATCGAAACAAACCAATTTTAATTATATTAAGGAATATCTGAGACCTAGACAAAATTTAATTTTTGATTTTGACGAAATTTGGTGTTGAATCCTTATATACACGAATATAGGTTACACCACTGTACTGTATACACGATTATAACCTTATGCTACCTTTATAATATTGTTCTGTTGCGTTTAATTTAGGCTTCTTTTAGGCCTGCTCTTGTTCTTATCTAGGTGCTTCTCATAAAAAGAAAGCTTTATTAGGAAGATTCGTACGAAGATCAAGTAAATTAATGGGAAGATTTTTCACATGCGGAAAGAGGGAAGAATATGGGTGTAAATTTGTAATCAAATTGTATAATAGTGATGAATTATGAATAAAATGTACTTTTCTGTTGACAAAGTATTATTTATACGATATAGCACTATTGAGTTTAACGTGAACATGACGTCGTTTGTATTTTCATAATAAACATTTTTCGGAAGCTATACCTTGACCAACCATGAGCAACGGTAAACTTAGCAACAGTCCTCCACCCTACCCTAATCCTACGCTCTCTTCTTAATCCTAACAACAGACCTTCATACCCTAACCCGAGCAACAGTTTCCCTCTCTACCCTAACCATAGCAGAGGCACATTAGTATATCCTAACCTCAGCAACAATCCTCACCCTACTCTACAACAGTCCATCCTACCCAAACACCAGCAACAGTCTTCCCTACCCAAAAAATAGTAATTCCTATCTTAACTCTAGCAACAGAACCCCCCCCCCCCCCCTTTCTCGACCCTTATAGCAGTCATCCACCATACCTTAACCTTGGAACAGCATTCTAACCATAGCAGCATTTCTCCCAACCCTAGCAACAGTCATTCACCCTACGCCAACACTAGCAACATTTCCCCTCATTACACTAACCATAGAACAGGCCTCCCAACCCTAGCAGTCCTTTACCGTCTGCTACCATAGCCAGAGTCCTCCCTACCGCATGCTCCTTAAGCAGCGGTATACTAGTATCCAATTTTCAAGGGAGGTTATTAGTCTTTAGTGACGGGAATTCAGTCTTGCGCAGGTTATTAGTCTTTAGTGACGGGAATTCAGTCATGCGCAGGCAGCGGTTAATTGTTGGAAATTCCTATACCCCTGCTGAAAGGGATACTACGTCTTAGTATGAACATAAAATTTTAATTTGCTCAAATTTGGCCAATAACAGTATATATCCATCAGTGGACTTACCTGGTGTCCTAACTATACATCAAAATCCCTCTATAATCCGATATATCCACAAAATCAAGTAATTGATTATAAAACGCTTAATACATCCATTAAGCGATTTTCAAATCGCGAGTCTAGGAAATCCGGTGTAATCACACGGGGAAAGTAACTCTCAAATGGAGTTTCCCGCGCCCTCGACCTCTACTCTTGAATTGACCTCGACATTGTCAGACATATTTTTAAGACTGAATAATAATGCCTCGTATAGGAGATTAAACGACTCCGCGAAAAAGCAATTCATATAATTCAGAATGAATACACCACCACTGACACAATTTTATTGTCAAAGTTTGTTTGTAAAAGATGATTGTTTCTTGTTTTAGCGTTGATTACCCAGACTCTTTTTTTCTCAAATTGAACGGATTCATCGCTTGCTCACTTTTTTGAAATTCTGATTATAGTTTTATTGTCGCTTTTTCAAACTTGATAAAGTGTGGGATGTATACTTATTTAACCAAACTATTAAACACAAATATTAGCCACAGGACGAGTGTATTCTAAGACGTAGTATCCCTTTAAGGACATAAGGAGCATGCACCAAGCAACATTAGTCCTCCTCACACTAACGAGAGCAACAGGTCACCTCAAACCCTAACCCTAGAAACAGTCTTCACTACCCTAAACCTATAGCTACATTCATAGTCGCTGGAGCCTCGCCCCCCTTATGAAATATTTGATAATAGACCATAGACATATTTCTAGGTTGAACCAGTTAATTTTAACTGGGTGTATTTTTTCGACTGAGTTTCCCCTTGTCAGGTGAGGGCTGGCATGGAAAAGCGTTTTAGTCTATCGGAGGGAAGAAAAACGGAGTCCCGTATTCACTAGGCAGAGCACGTAAAAGACACCTCGGCAGTTAAACGTTGGTTGTAAGAGCAGACCATGTGCCACTGCCTTGGCAAAATTACGTCTGCGATATCATTAGTTTGGCAGCGGACAGTTAAACTTACTAACACAACACACGGTGAGACTCAATGTAATAGATTAGGACGTGTTGGAGAGACGAAGCATTCCGCCCAACAGTCATCCACCCTACGCCAACCCTAGCGACAGTCCTTCATCCTACCCTAACACAGGGAACAGCCTCCATCTCTGAATATTATTGGCATATCATAATCATTTATTTTGTAAAATATATTAAAAACCTTTTCAAAGTAACCGGTTTTCTTGGTTTCTTTTCAAACACTATGTCAATGTCCCTACCCTTTCACCTAGCAACGGGAAATAGTTTGCAATGTACCAATTTCCATACAGAGTTCTCCGTTCTGTCAACAGTGGGCCTAGACACGTTTTGATATGAAAGAAGGACTCCAGTAAACTCCAGCCTGGCGATGAGGTTGCAGGGCTATTAATTGAATAAGTGCTAATAGGGAGATACCATAGTTTAAAAACACCTTGTTCAGTGTATTTTATTTTTATTCAAAATCCTTGTAAATATTTATCATACAAATAAAATATCTTTAAATACTTGTCAAGTACTCTGGGTTTTGATGTATAAGACATTTAAGAAAACAAATTAGGGATGAAACATCTGTAATATACATTGTACTAAAGTATTTTATAACGACAATAAAACTCTAAAAGAATGAAATCAAATCTGGCATATACTCTACATCATGCAAAACATCATTTAGTATCAAAATATACCGTTAAAAATTGTTTTAATGCAAATCACATTTTTGAAATTAAAAACACTTGTCTTTCATGAACACAATTCTTTCGTAAAAATACTTATAGACAATTCTGAAACTAAGTCCTTCATACGTATATCATATGTACCACTAAGGATTATTCAAAAGGTGATTCAGATTCCTTTAATACTCCTTTCATATTACAAAATCAAAAATACAATTAAAATCTTTATCTTCAGATCCCTGTTTAATAGATAAAGATAAATAATAATAAAACAGTTCAATTGAAGACCTGTTACTCAGGTCCTTTATATCTATGTTTAGTTGTCAATGAATGTCAGCATAAATATTCACACAAAATCCATGACCCAAACATCACTTTTAAGAACTTTATTAACCTCTGATCGAAACGAATTAAACGTGACGCCAATTTCTTTTGCGTTACTAGCATGATTTAGACTAATATTATCAGAACCTGTACAAAAATGAAGAAAATTAGACAACATGTCACACGGGAGATCCTGAACATATTTTTTGAGAAAGGCCGCATTACTAGTTTGAATCGGATTCATATAGGCATATTCAAGACTTTTTATTTGTGGCTCTTAAGCTGTCATAAATACCATCTAATGTGCGATCACCTAAGGTGAATCCAAGGTAATGGAGTTGTATGAACCAGTATTCCTTCACATATATTAGCTGTTGTATTAGTTCCTTATGAGCAATTTCACCAACAATTTGTTTTATATTATCCTTATTTGGTATCGATCTACAATCATGTGAACCTAAAACATCAATTATATATCTTTGTCGTCATAATTATCATCTTGGTCTAGAGCAGATAGAATACTTTTTGATTCTGATTCACCTATGTCAAATACTCAGAAATAAGTGAGTTACTTGAATTGGAGTAGGTATCTATTCCGAAGATGCAACAGGAAATGAATGCCTTGAACAACTGTATGGGAAAATATTCCTGGTGATATACCAACCGAAAAACAGAATTGAAGCAACGGCCTTCCAGTCAGTTTCCGAAAAGTCATGTCGGAGCGTTGGCACTTTTGAAGCTATTCTCTGCCTAGTGCACACTCCTCAAAAAATGCATTCCAAAATTCTACTAAAACATCTCTAAGGACACCACCGCCATCCTCTGCTATTTCATACTCACCATTTGGCAAGATAATTTCGAATGTGAAAGTGTCATTCAGAATTTCACACTTTCCCTCTATGAAAATATTCCTTATTTCCGTAAAGATGTGTCCGCGGTGAACCTTTATATGATAATGAACCGGGAGAACTGTATTGTTCAGTCCCATGCTTCGAACATCAGTGCTTTCCCCATTTTCGAATTTTTGAAGAAATTCAGATATGTCTGAATTTATGTCTGGTAACGAATCATTGTCACTGAACGGGTTCGAAGGGCTGCTACTCAGAGCATCTAATTGTTAACTATAGTTTGTAACTTGGATACTTCTCCAATTTGTTCTTTTTACTTCGAAGTACACTGGTAATTCATAAATACTTGTTTCTCCTTTTTCTTTTTCATTTTGTTCAGTTTCACCCTTTGCTTTTCCTCTTACTACACTTCTTTGGTTCTATTGATGTTGGATATTAATTTTGTGCCGCAAAGCCAAATAAAATCTTAAATTAGCCAATTTAATTAATTCACTTACTCTACCAACTGTGACATTTTCATCAAGTGGGATGTACTGGAAATCCATTATGTCAAATGCATAGCCTAATTTTCAGCATCTCCAAATTTTGGTGATTTTCAGTTTGGGAAAAACAGTTCTGTTGTTGATTATATTATGTCAGGTTTTTTGGTGAGCTTACAGATAGACAAATTCCTATTTCCCCTACCATTTTTCGTTCTCACTGTATGGAAACATTGTTCGTCTTCGTCGTATAATCATGCCAACTGTTTTATTCTGGTGCTTGAAAAGATTTTTTCTTGCTCGGTGTCTCATTTTGATCTGAAGATATTTTAATTTTATTCTCAAAGTTTCAAATAGACTCTGCTTCTTCATTTTTTGTTTATCATTCTCTTTATGAAAGAATTGTCTTAAATGCAAGTCTGTCACCATAAGCTGGTATAAATTTGGTTAATTCTTCATCCGTCATTATCTTGACGCAATCTTCGTCAATCTGAAAAATAAATGCAGAAATGAGTGTAATAAAGGTGACATACGAATTTTCATACTGAAATGAATGATACAAAATTATAGGGGACCTTGTTGCATTAATCTGGAGGCTAACTTAACTCTTCAGAAACCATATTTAAAACTTTTCTCCAAACACACGTCGATTACGGGAATGTTCAAGCCAAAATTTGAGATTTAAGGACTGGGGTTCTGCGTACAAATAAAGCTTTGATTTATAGTGAATAGTAAATAGTTAAATCTCCACCTTTTCATCTCTCAAAATATTTGTATCAACTCCTCTGGCTGTCAGAAACTCTTCCATCTTGCAAA